TCACATCTCTCCACGTTTTCCCTCATCGCACTTATTCTCCAAGCTCCTAGGACTGGGCAGGGAACTGCATACAGAGCACAGCCAAAGGCAGGACCCATTGCCTCATCTGTCATAGCACCAGCAATGATACTGGGGGAACATTCCATGTTACTCAACTGTTCCCAATAGACTGAGAGCTCCTTGGGTGAAGGTCTGAGCTGAATTGCCAGCACAGATGCAGTAAATTCTGGCCAAGCCAGTGGATGACTACGGAGATGCGAGTTCTGTCAGATGCCTGGAATCTAGGGAAAGCCAGGCTCCTTGGTGGAGAACTGGGTTGCCAACTGACTAGGAACCAGGGCTAGGTCAGTGGGAGCCTCACGTGTGAATGGCCCTGCAGATCTCCTCAGCTGAGCGTCCAGCCTTGCGTAGGGTGATGGCCAGGTTCTTGGCACGATTGGCTTCCAACAGAGTCACCTTGCTGGCAGCTTTTTGCGCTGTCTTGTTCTTGGAGCAGATGAGGTCAAGGGCAGGGCCCTGTGCTTTTGTCTTGAATAATTCTTCAAACTTATCCAGATCCAGGTCCTGGCAGGAATAGATGAGCAGGAAAATACTGTAGCCTCATATTAGTGGAGGACCTCCTGACAGCCCAGCCAGCATTGGCCCAGAGCTCTGTCACTCTGGAATGTTTCATGAATACAAAGTGCTGACACAAATGGAAAAGTATATACACTCAAGAATGAAGGGTTTGTGAAGCTGAACCTGGCCTCACCCTGTCTGACGGCTTTTCTAAGACCAGATGTGCTCAAAAGGCAACCAGGTCCCCAGGGCTCAGTCTTACCACTCTCGACCCCAGGTCCTGTTACCTCCAAGATCTTCTCATCATCAAGTTCGCTGAAGACAGTGCCACTGATCTGGTTGGGTTTCAGTGCTGTCCAGTTGAAGACAGGCAGCCGGAACTTGGTCTTGATAGGTTTCTTAATTCGAATGGCTAATTTGGAAGGAGGATCAGTGACAGAGGGGCCAAGGACACATACCCCTGGTCCCACTAGCCCTGCCCAGAGCCCTGGGGACACTCACCTGACAGGCCCACTGTCAACACCACAGAGGGTGCAGCACCAGGGAGAGGTGGGGCAGGGGGACACTTGTCTGGGGGAAAAAGGAATGACACAGTGACTCAGGGGTCAAGAGGCTCTTTATAGGCTGCCTCTCTCCTCTGCCAGCCCCACCTTCTCTGAGTTTTTACTCTCAGAGAAGGAGCCTACATTAAATCTGCTCAAGCTGCTCCCAGAAATCCTAACTCTGACAGCGCAGTTCTTGCTGGTCTCTGACCCAGTTTCCACGGCTATAGTCTAAGCCTCTCCTTGGCTGTCTTCAAAGGAATTCGGAGCAGCATCTAAACAGATCCACATCTGCCCTTGGGCATCCCTGTGCTGATAACTCGAGCTTCTCTCGGATTCCAGCCCTCCCTCACCCTGATTTTATAGCCTCCCAGTCCTCAGGTGATGCCATTTTCCCAGCTTCTTCCTGAGGAAGACACCTCTGACTATGGTTTTGGTCCCCACAATGAGGCTGCCCCTGCTGGCTCCCAGGGGTCATGGTTACCTGGTAATGGGGGAGGTGGAGGGGGCAAGGGTGGAGCTGGTGGTGGAGGCAGAGGCAGGACCTCCTCGGGGGGTGGGGCTGGAGCCAGAAGGTCTAGGTCAGAGGGTGGCATGCCCTCACTCGGCTCTGCAGGGCCTACTCTGGCCAGGGCCTCACTGCCCACAGACTCCAGGCCCCGGACACTTGGCTCCAAATGGCATCGACGCTGGAAAGCCTCCTCCTTCTCTTTAATGAGCCTCCGCAGGGTGTGCACCTGGTGGCTTGTGTTCTCGTATGTCTCCTGACAGGCAGACAGTACCATTAAGGGAAAAGTGGGCTGAAGGCATAGTAGTCATTGTCCCTAGGAGTGAGAATTCCTACCTAGGGTTCTCTTAATTAGGGTCTCTGTGAGGGTGCTCAGAGGCTCAGAGTGGCAGAAATCCAGGTAGAGGAATGGGGAAGCTGGAAGGCAGCAAAACAAAAGAGGGAAGCAGAAGCTGCCTCCCTCCGCTGGTACCCTAAAGTGTCCTCTCTGCTCCAGCCAATTCTCACCGCATGGGCCCCTTAAAACCCAGGAAAAAAGGCTGTCCCTGTGAAACTCTCCTTAATCAATCAACAGTCTGACACAGCTGCTCTCTCCGTAGCCCTTTGGGCCTCATTTTGCTTCCATTTCAGTTGGCCTCATATAATGGCTTAATTTGAAGCCCCCTACAAACAAGACCCTGTCTTATCCATCTCTGTATCCTCCATAGCTCTCAATATAATGCTTAGCAGAGGCTGGGTACAGATACATATTGAGCTCAACAGAGCCAGCATTATGTTCTTCTGGAAGAGAAGGTAGGTTAGGGGCATGACTTTATAATGAAAATACAGAAGAGAATGAAATACAAGGAGCACGTGCTCTCCCAACTTAGGAAACCTGGTGGACACCCTAATACACAGAGCACCTGGTCACTCTGCCCCTGATCATTAAGCATGGCTGGGGAGGAACATGGGAGTACAGGGGAGAAAAATCAATGGGATGGGCTGGTAGGAGGCCTGGGTTGGAATTCCAGAATGCTTGTGGTTGCCCCAGCTACTCCCAACCTCTTATGTGTGTGTCTGGCTCACACTGGCTTCAGCTTTCCCCTCCAACTAAAAAAATGGGGTGCAATCATCAGCCCACCCACACCTGAGAACTTCAAGAGTGAATCAAGATCTAAATCCTAGAGAACTTGACATGACTCAGAAATAAAAACAAAGCAAAACCCCAAGGCCCTGGAGCCCAGGATTAGTCAGGGACTTCCTTCCCCAGAGCCCTTTTACCTTGATGCTCTCTAGTTCCTTCTCCCGCTGCAGAAGCTGCTTCTCTAGCTCTGCCACCCGCATCATGTTCTCATTCTCTAGGTCCAGAAGCTTCTCTGTGAGCTGCACAATAGGAAGGACAGGTTCTGTGCTGGCCCTAAAGCCTGGGCACTCAGCACACCCTGAACCCTAGTCAAGAGCTGAGTTGAACCCCTCAACACAAGGCCGCAAAGGCAGCTTAGTCAGGTGGCTCCCTTATATCCCAATAACAGATACAAGACAAAGGCCACATTTTGACTCTCTCAAGACCGATGCCACCTCATGCCTAGTCCTGGAGGTGGTGTGTGTTCCAATTGGTGGATGATCCAGTGGCTCAGGCCAGTGCATGGTCTTGAGAGCCCTGGTGGGTTCTAAAGCCTTCCTAGGACTCAATCTGGAGGCAAATGGGTCAGTTCAGGATTCCTGATAACTTGAGCTTCCAACAACAGTGGCTCTGGCAGGCAAAGGAAGGCCACCTACATGGGACACATGCTCCTCCAACTCCTCCACCTTCTCCAGGGCTACATTCTTGGTCTCAGCATCCTCCAACAAACCCCCGACATCAAACACGTTGTCCAGGTATGCCTGAATCTGCACCTGCAGCTTCTCGCTCTCTGTGTGCCTTGACTTCTAGGGGAAGAGCAGAAAGTAGTAGTAGTTGTAGGAGCAGGCAGATCATCAGGGGAACCTGAGAAAAACTTAGTCCTCATTCCCCTTCACCACCGCTTCCCAAAGAGTTCCTGCTGTAGGCCATGTCAGATTCTCGCCCCATGGAGGTGCCTGACTGGCGAGTTATCTGAAGGAGGTCCTGAGTCCCAGGTCACAGAAGATAGGCAGGGTCCCAGGAGCATCAAGGACTAGGCACTTAGAAAAATCATTTGTGATATGACTAAACTGATCCCAAAGCACCGCACCTTACAAGGACCCCAACTAGCTCACCTGCAGGAACTCCTCTAGCCCCAGCTTGGTAAACTCATACTGCAGGTGGACCCGGAAGTTCATGTCCTCCACCGAGTGCACCACGATGTTGATGAACTGCATGCAGGCCACCTGGAGAAGAAGCAGCCCAGAGAATCAGCAACAGGAAGGCAAAGGAGAGCCAAGAGACCAGGAGGATAGACGGCTGTTAGAACATCATCATCATGTGGATAATTACAGGGAAGAGTTAAGTATTTATGGGAGCAACAAGAGTATTTTAATTTTAAAATGTCATTTAATATTCAGTGGATAAAGACAAGAAAATTACATGAAAAACAGATGTAAGTGAAGATAAAGCTCCGTGATTTCCCTTGTATATCAGCAGGTATTCCTTGAGACCACCTTACCTAGCTGAAGATCCTGCCCTTGGGGGAAGAGAAGCTAGAGGAAGAGCTTAGGAAAGGAAAGGTAGCTCAAAAAGGACACAATTCAAGGACAAAAAGGCCACAGAGAAGAGGAAAAGGAGGTAGATCTGACATATACAAATGATGTCCTGAAGTTTCTAAGAGCTCTCTGGGGCGGGCAGGTGGACATGAAAGAATCATTCTGGGCTCTACATGGAATATCAAGATATACTGCTGGCCTGACCCCTGTTCTCAAGGAACACACAGCCCTGGTGGATATGGGCCGGGCAGAGGCCCAGTGCCTCACCATGAAGTCGATGTTGCTGTCCTCATTCCGGAAATATTCCATCAGCTTCTCAAAGCGGTGCAGCTCCTTGCATACCTGAATAAGCAAGCTTTCTCAGTGAAAGGATCTGCTCCATGCAGAACCCAAGCCCCTGTGCCCTGACTCCCAGGAACATCATGGCAAAGACTGGTTCAGACCAAGCTTAACTACAACTCTATATATTTAATAGGCCATTCTGGACACTATAAAGAAAACGGGGCCAGGTGCAGTGGCTCATGCCTATCATCCCAGCACTTTGGGAGGCCGAGATGGGCAGATCACCTGAGGTTAGGAGTTCAAGAACAGCCTGGCCAACATGGTGAAACCCTATCTCTACTAAAAATACAAAAATCAGTCAGGTGTGGTGGTGCATGCCTGTAGTCCCAGCCACTCAGGACGCAGAGGCAGAAGAATCACTTGAACCGGGGAGGCGGAGGTGGCAGTGAGCTGAGATTGTGCCACTGCACTCCAGCCTGGGCCACAGAGTGAGACTCCATCTCAAAAAAGAAAAAAAAGAAAGAAAACTTGGACCTGCAATCTGGTTCTGGGTCTGTGGTCCCCTACCAAATTGCTGAGGGAATTCAGTAATGCCTGTGCCCTTAAGCTGGGCTTTAGGTGCCTCTGGGATAGGCCAGGAAGAAACATAGGATTCTGATGCTGCCAAGTTATTAACAGAAGGAGGGAAAGGAGGAGGAAGGGAGGAAGGCCATGGGCGAGACAGGAGGCTGCGGTACTAGTGGGGATGCAGGGGAGGGGCCAGTGTACAGGAAAGCCCTCTCCGAGAGGGGTCTAGAGGCTCCTCTGAGCCTCTGGGTTTCAAGGAGGAAGAGCCATTTCCTGGCTTGAACAATGGATGCTAGGGAAGAGGTCCAAAGAAGAGGAAGGGGTGGGACCAGCAGCTGTGCTGGATGTCGAGGAATCCTATGTTCAAGTTGATAGGGGTTTCAGAGGCAGGCCCAGGGGCTGGGGAAATTCCACATAGGAGTTCCTTCTCCCCTCACCAATAACAGCCAACAATCCAAGAGACACCCCTGCTTACCTTCTCCTCCCACTTCAAACACATGTGCTTTGGGTTCACCGCATCAGACTCCCATCTGGGGAGTTTCTTAAAGTACATATACTTAGGCCTCCAGTGGGTCTGAAGTAGGGCACAGGCATCTGTACTTTTAACAAGCTTCTTAGGTGATTTGGATGCAGGGCCCAACTAGAACCACTGGACTACAGCCCTCAGCCCTAGCTGAGGTAACTTTAGCTGGCCAATCAAGAGGTTTCCTGGCACTAAGATCAATAAGACTAAAGTTCTGGTTTTAAAAACAGTGGGCGTTCAGGAGAGAGGATGCTTAGCCAAGCACTGGGATGTTAAAAATCACTGCAGATCACAGGAAATGGTACTTACCTACCTGGCTTCCTGCCTTCTACCCCATAAACACATATACACACACACACACGAAGCCAAAAGACTGACCTCTTTGAAATTGTCAAAGGCAGAAAGGATGATTTCGTGACCTCCTCGCACCAAACACACAGCTGCCAGAAGCTCTAAGACAAGGGCTTTGGTCCTAAGGGGTGAAGAAGGAAGATTAACACCCTAGCTCCCCATCCTGACCACCACACAGCTCACTTCCCTGACTGGGTAAGTCCTTTTGGAGAGTGGAGAAAGCCTCAGTGATGAGGAGAGGGTGGGAAAAAAAGGACTTGCTCCCTTACTAAGCTGTGTAGACCAGAGGGGAGCCGGGGATACTTCACTTCCAGCAGAGGTGAGGGGGCCAAACCAAGGCTCTGACAGGATTAAAAGGCCAGGCAGGACTTGTCAGGAATACATGGAGCACAGATCTCCAGATCCCTGGACAGAGTGGGGAGGAAAGGGGAGGGAAGGAACTCACCTTGGATTCTTGTTATTGAGGCTAAGTGCAATCTCATTGACAGCATGGGGGTGGGACATGACCAGGTTGAATCCATACTGCAAGGGAAAGGACAGAAGTGGGGGGTACCTTGATGGTGGGGAAGGGAGAGCAAAGCCCATCTCCTTGACTGCAGGCCCACCAGCAAATCTGTCTTTTATAAGCTGGTGCCCTCCTGGTTTTGCAGATGAGGCAGAAGAAGTAGAGCACCCATGGCTGGTGCTTCCCCCATACCTGATAGTTCATGATGGCTCTGAGACAAAGGATACAGACGTGGACATCATCCTTCTGGCTCACTAGGCGGGAGTTCTTCAGGGCCCTGCGCCCAGGGAGAGTGCTATACCTGGGGAGATTGGCCAGGCAGTCAGGTGGGAGCCGAGGCTGCCAGTGAAGCATCTAGGGGCACTCACCATCTCCCAGACAGCAGGCTGCCCCTTAGCAGTGGCAAAAAATGGGAATGAGCAGCGAAGAGGGACAGGGTGCAGGAGGCAGGGAGGTCAGACTGTTTTTACCTCCCTAGAGTAGGCCTTTGTCAGCAACTACTCAGGATCCCAGCTTTATAACCAGTGCCCAAACCCTAGAGATCCTTCAAAATACAAACAGTAGTTGTATAGGTCTTCCTAGTCCCTGAGATGGGTCCAGAGACACATTCATCTGAGAATTCCCTCCACCCACTTCCAGTTGCTGTACCTTCTGCACAAACCATGGGACAAGAGCATCTTGGCTCCCATCCCAGAAAAGGCAGAGCTGATCCCCAAAGGCTTTAGAGGGGCCATGGGGCTATACCTGGTTTTGCACCTCTCCATCCTATCAGTGATGTTTCATGGAAAAGGGAGGAAACATGTATCTGCCCATGCATGACAATAATAATAAACAGTGTTCAAGGGATACAAGCCAAAGGAGACTAGGAGAAAAGCATGGCCACAAGAGAGATAGATAACCAAGGAAAGGGCTACTGGACCCAAAGGAAAGCCTCCCAGAGTAACAAGGAGCACTGAGAAGTCATCTAGTCCATCCGCCTACCTCTGGGCGGGATGGCTCCTAAGACACTGCAGACAAATGAGTACGTTGCAGCCTTAGAGACAAAAGGCTCGAAGGAAGAGGTGAAGGGAGTGCGAGGGGCAGGCAGGTTGGGTGGAAGCTGGTGTCCAAGCTGATGATGGGGCAGAGTGAAGAGCTAGAGGGAAACAGAATGAGGACAGGAGCTGGATCACCCAGTGAAGGCCAAGGATCTGTATGAGATGTGCACTGCTCGAGAGGCCCAGGAGGAATGACAGAGTGAGAGTGAGGAGTGACGGGCCCCCCAGAGAGGGGTGGGGAGGGGTGGGGAGGGATGGGGAGAGCTGGAACCCCAGGTGGGGTGGGTGCAGCTAAGACCATGTACTTACCCAGGACAGACTGCTGGGCAGAGTCAAGGAGACAGAGAGGACAGACCAGAGACAGACTGGCAGGCAGAGGGCAAGAGAGCTGAGCCTGGAAGCAAGAGTGGAGGAAGGAGCATGAGCACTCACCACTGAACCTGAGACCTGCATTGAGGGGTAGGGTGGGAGGCAGGCGGGCAGAGCAAGAGCACACATACCGGAGCACAGACTGGCGCGCAGAGCGAGCGAGGCTGTTGGTGAAGGGGGCCGACAGGGCGCTGGGTGGCTGCAGGTCCTCGATTGACCTGCTCCAGGACCGGAGTTTGTCAAATGCACCATCGTCACCACTCTCCAGACCCTCAAAGTCAAACCTGGAGCATGAAAGGACACACATGCGCACACACAGGCACATACACAGAAGAAATTCAGTGCCAAGCCCCCCGTGAGCCCACCCCCACCATTCAGGCCTCTAGGGCAACAAGAAGCAGGGGTAGCAAGGAGAGAAAGCAGAATTGGGCAGCAGAGACCTGACCCTAGCTGGAAGAGCCACTAACACAGGACAGCGGCAGAAGAGGCACAGGCAGCAACCAGGAGGGGAATCTAAGGAGATGGGAAGCTGATGGAGGCCAACTCCTCTGCTCCCCACTGGCCAGGTAACTCCAGGAGGAGTGTCCTCCCCATGGGCCACTGGGGAGCTGGCAGTCTTTCTGCACTTCCAGCTTAGATGGGGCATCTCCAGGAAGCTGTGGCTCCCCACAGAGAATCTACCCCGTAGAAGGAATGGTGGGGAATGGGCCAACTGCAGGTCTTGCTAGTTGGCCAATTGCAGCAACCAAAGGGCCTTTCAGTGCCTTGAAGGAGTCCAGTTGATGCTGTATGACAGGACTGAATGGAAGGGAAAAGGGGTTCTGGCAAACCCAGAGTGGGACAGTCTTTTATGTTTTGGAGGAGCACCACCGCCCCATCTTAGCACTGTTTTTTTTTTTTTTTTTTTTAAAGATGGGGTTTCACCATGTTGGTCAGGCTGGTCTTGAACTCCTGAACTCAGGTGATCCTCCCGCCTTGGCCTCCAAAGTGCTTGGATTACAGGCGTGAGCCACGACGCCCAGCCAGCACTGGGTTTTAATGACCAGGTTCTCTATGGTTCTGGCTACTTGAGGTTTCTAGATTTTTCAGGTATAGTGGCTCCCTGGGCTTCAGCTTCCCTGGGGTAAGAAATTGCAAGTTGAGATTGTGGATCAGGGTCCTGTAGTCTAGTCTTTGCAGGAGCTGAATGGGTTGTGACTTTCTGCTCCTGGAACCATATGTCTTCCACCATCAGGAATTATTATTATTTTATTAAGAGACAGGGTCTCACTCTGTGGCCCAGGCTGGAGTACAGTGGCACAGTCATAGCTCACTGTAACCTCAAACTCCTAGGCTCATGCAACCCTCCAGCCTCAGCCTCTTGAGTAGCTGGGACTACAGGTGCATGCCACCATGCCTGCCTAATTTTTGAAAATTTTCTTGTAGAGATGGAGTCTTCCTGTGTTGTCCAGGCTGGTCTTAAACTCCTGGGCTCAAGCAATCTCCCACCTTGGCCTCCCAAACCTCTGGGATTATACGTGTGAGCCACTGTTCCCAGACAACCATCAGCTGTTTGTCAATGTGGTCAGAATAAGGAAGACAGCCAAGATCACAAACCCATAGAGACTCCTCTCTTATACATCCTCACTTCAGGATACACCCCTCTGAGAAACGGTCCCTCTCTTCCTTCTTGTCCTTTTCCTCCATGTAGGTCATTAAAGACTAAGGGAACATCTCTTGCAGGTTCTTATTCCTCAAGAAGCATTCTGCCCAAATATGGGGTCAAAGGCACAGAGGCTAAGGCTTTCTGGAATAGGAAGGGATATCTACAGAAGTCAGAATGTTCCAAAGGAAGTGGGAACAGGCTTTAGTGTCCTCCTGATCAGGAGGTGTTTAATGGGGCTCTCAAGTAGACTTCAGAGGAACCTCCCTGACAGGGAAACAGCTTGCTGATTCCATCAGTAACAACACTGTATCCTCTAGTACTGATATATGCAGTTTACAAACAAATGTCTTCACTCAAACTCTATATGGCCTCACCCTTTCCCTCTCAATCCTTCCCAAAATACACACTCTCCCCAACACCGAGTGCTTCTTTTTAAAATAGTCAAAGGTACTGCCATGGACACTACAATACTGAGATTCCAGGGTACTCTTGGTTTAGGGCAGCTGGAATTTGTTTGCTTTTCAAATAAGAAAGATAGGCTTATTTGGAAAAATGACCTACATCTTTTTACTATAAAAGCTCTGAATTTTTTTTAAGAAAAATTGTTTCAGCAAATGTTTTTCATTTCTTTCTATAAAAATAATCTTTTTTTAATCTTTTAAAAGATTAAAAGAATCATGTAAACTATGACTTCTGCTGAGACAAGAATGCAAAGTGGGCCACTCTTGATTTTAACAGAGGATAACCTGGAAAAGGTAAGAGAGGCACCAAACATAGAAGCATCAGTTCAAATTCCTAAGGAGATGACACTGAAGACCTGCTGGACAGAGAATGACCAATTGGGGAAGGATAGTAGTAAGAAAAGTGGAAGTTGGCTGGGAGCAGTGCCTCACACCTGCAATCCCAGCACTTTGGAAGGCCGAGGCAGGGTGGATCGCTTGAGCCCAGGAGTTCAAGGCCAGCCTGGGCAACATGGTGGAACCCGTGTCTACTAAAAACACACAAAAAGTTAGCTGGCATGGTGGTACACACCTGTGGTCCCAGCTACTCGGCAGGGCTGAAGCAGGACTGTGGCAGGAGGACTGCTTGAGCCCAGGAAGTCAAGCCTGCAGTGAGCCAAGGTCACACCACTGTACTCCAGCCTGAGCAACAAAGCAAGACCCTGTCGCAAAAAAAGTTAGGGCTAAGTCCCAGGATGGAGGAGTTTCCCAGGATGCTGGGGAAAACTAGGGAAAGTTATGGGCAAACCAGGAAGATTGGTCTCCTAGGGCTGACTTATCTTAGGCATAAGTCTAAATGTGTTGGTCACCATTTTTATTATGTAATTCCACGTATTCAGGTAATTGTGGGAGGGTATACCACCTTACATAATAACAATGAAATTAACAGTAGACCTGCTACCACAATACAAACATAGTATGTTCTAAACACTATTAAATGCTTTAACATACGGTATCATCTAAT